GTCCCCATGCTCCCCTCTCCCCCGTTCCTGGCAACTACACCATCTTTTTTTTTTACGCTCAAATTGTCTTAGATTTGGCCTATGGGAGCTCCTTCATTGTATTTCCTGTGTTCTCTGACATGTCCCCATCATTCTTTTTTTTAATATAAATTTATTTATTTATTTATCTCTGGCTGCGTTGGGTCTTTGTTGCTGCGTGCAGGCTTTCTCTAGTTGTGGTGAACGGGGGCTACTCTTTGTTGCTGTGCGCGGGCTTCTCATTGCAGTGGCTTCTCTCGTTGCAGAGCATGGGCTCTAGGCGTGCGGGCTTCAGTAGTTGTGGCTCACAGGCTCAGTAGTCGTGGCTTGCAGGCTCTAGAGCTCAGGCTCAGTAGTTGTGGCTCGCAGGCTCTAGAGCGCAGGCTCAGTAGTTGTGGCGCACGGGCTTAGTTGCTCCGCAGCATGTGGGATCTTCCCGGACCAGGGCTCAAACCCGTGTCCCCTGCATTGGCAGGCGGACTCTCAACCACTGCACCACCCAGGAAGTCCCATATCCCCATCATTCTTTGAGCATTTCCTTGTTTTCTGGCACAAGAAGATTTTCCAGGCTCCCTTTAATCCTTTCCCTGTCCCAGAGCTTGACTCAGCCATTTCTCCAAGGACCCCAGGTCCTTTTAGTGGGCAGTGAATGGTATTTAGAAACTAACATCTGAGCATCTAGGTGAAGTCACCGATATTGGAGGGTCACCCAGGTCCTCTTAGTAGATACATGTACATGCTTATCTATTTCTCTGTCAAAAACCACAAGTTCATATGAATTCCTTCAGTTCAAACTCAGCATCACAGCACTCACTCCAGTTTTGTTTCCTTTCCATGTTTGTAACGCCCTTCTTGAACAGGGAGAAAACTGACTCTCCTTCTCCTCATTGTATTTATGTATTTAATCGATACCCCTGAATGTAACCAGCCTCCCAAGGCTGCCACTGTGCCTTCCCCCATGATACCACCCCCAACCCACCCCCGTGGCCTGCACACCTCGCGTTCGGCCCACGCCCTCCCAGAAGCCTCTCCTACCCTCTGTGGGCTCCCGCACCCGGTGCTGGGCCACTCTGCCGTGCAGGAGCCCTCCTCACCCCACTCAAGCTCCCATACCCCACACCAGGGCACCTGACGCCCTCAAACGACTCATCTGCTCCGGCTCTGACACCCCACGTTGGGCTGCACCTCCACGAGGACACCATCTCTGTGCTGCTTGTTTTACTGCCCTTCCAAGCACACACTCTTCTTACCCTTCTTGGTAAGTCCCACATCCCATACCAGGGGGACTGCCCATCTGCTTGGACGTCCCCCCCGCTAGGGCTCTGACTCTCACACTCGTAAGAGTAGCATTTCTCACAACTTCAGTAGAACCTTGGTAACCTCTTGGTAACCTTGTTAAAAATGAAGATTGGGCTTCCCTGGTGGCTCAGTGGTTGAGAGTCCGCCTGCCGATGCAGGGGACACGGG